GACTCTTTCTCTCAAGCTGTTTGGTTATGATTAAAAAGTTATCATAACATTGTACTCTGTATGCTCTATTACATTCATGAATATATTAGCAGCACAGGTAAATACATAGGTAGAAATATTCTCTGTTAAATTTACATATATTCATGGGCATAGTCCCATTATACCTCCCACATCTGCTCAGCTTGCACATGTATCTATGCATCCACTTGTAGATTAGTGTTATTGCAAGATTGTTTCTATAATAATATTATTCACCAGCATTCCTCTATTTTCAGCCAAACAATAGACCGATAAGGGAAGCACTAACGCTAGGGAGGCATACATTTCTTAGATTAATCAACCATTTGAGATCCAAAGGACAAAGTTCAGGAGGCAGGAAGGGTTAGGAAATAAGGAGAAATGGGAGTAGAAACATAGGGAGGAAATAGGATAAATTGATGCTACATTGCGGAGATTGTAATCAATGATATGAAACAAAATGTGCATGAATTGTTGAATGGAAAGCTGATCTGCTTTCTAAACCATCACCCAATTCACAATTTAAAAAATAATAAAAGAAGTAGCAATTAACAGCATCAATGGAAGCTAAATATCAATGAAATCATACATTTACATTTAAAAAATAATATAATTGTTAACCAAATATTATTCTGCAAAAGTATTGCCTTAGAATGAAGGTAACAACAACAACAAAAAAAATAAAAAAATAACCCAATAATTGGCGTATTTTTTCGCTGAAAATCCACACCAAAAGAAATAACAAATGATGTTCTTAAAATAAAGAGAAAACAATCCCAGCTGGAAAGTTAGTAGTAGTGCTAAATGAATATTGATTGTAAAAAGTGATAATAATAATGCCTTATTAAGTTTATTGTTGTTGTTATTAAGTGCCAACAAGTTGGTTGTTGTTAGGTGCCATCGAGTCAGCATTGACTCACAGGGACCCTATTCACAACAGAAGGAAACACTTCTTGGTCCTGGGCCAATCTCACAAATTGCTGCTACGCTTGAGCCCATTTCTGCTGCCATTGTGACAAACCATCTCGTTGGGGGGGTCTTCATCTTTTTCTCCAGCCCTACAACTTACCAAACATGATCTCTGTCTCCAGGGATTGGTCCCTCCTGACAATATGCCCGAATTATGAGATATGACATCTGGCCATCTTGGCCTCCAGGGAGCATTCTGACTATATTTCTTCTAGCATAGATTGGTTTGCTTTTTGGCAGTCCATGGTACTTTCAATATTCTCCTCCATCAGCACAGCTCAAATGCATCAGTTATTCTGCGGCCTTCCTTATTCACTGTTAAACTTTCACATGTATATGAAGTTATTGAAAATCCCATGGCTTGGGCCAGGCACACTTTAGATTTCAGACTGACATTTTTGCTCTTCAACACTTTAAAGAGGTCTTGTGCAACAGATTTACCTAATGAAATACATTGTCTAATTTCTTGACTGCTGCTCCTATGAGTGCTGATGGTTGATCTGAGCAAAATGAAGTCTTTTATTGACAACAGTCTTTTATTGACAACATCAATCTTTTATTCATTTATTGTGATGGTATTTATTGGTCCTGTGGTGAGGATTTCTGTTTACTTTACATTGAGGTGCAACTCATACTTAAGGCTGTGGTCTTTGGTCTTCATCAGTAAATACTTTAAGTTGTCTTTGCTTCAGCAAGTAAGGTTGTATTATTTGCATATCGCAGGCTATTAATGAACCTTCCTCCAATTTGATGCCACATTTTTCTTCATATAATCCAGCTTCTGGGATTATTTGTATGGTGAAAGAATGCAATCCTGGAGCACACCTTTCTTAATTTAAACCCTTTGGTGCTCCCATGTTCTGTTTGAACAACTGCCTCTTGAGTTGTGCCCCATAAGCAAATGAAGTTTCAAATGGCTTTACTCTCTTGGTGTCATCATGGTCAATTCTACTTTGAGGAGGCTTCTCTTCCTCAGTTGGATTTTGAATGCCTTCTAACATGAGGGGCTCATCTTCCAGCACTATATCTGACAATATTAAAAGTTATCATAACATACCAAGTGACACTATTCTGATGCTCTTCATCATAGTTCAATATTCCATATGCTGGTGCTGACAATGTTCTCTTGCTATTCATAAGGTTTGCAATAAGTTTACATTTGCAATTCACCTGCTTCTCCTTCCTATTCTGTTTTCATTTGGAAGATCAACTGAAACCTGTCCACCATGAGTGACTTTGCTCTTATTTAAAATACCCAGGGTACATCTTCCAGAATCACAGTAAAATGCAAGCCACCACAGCACGACAAACTGAAAAAATGCAACAAGATATACATTCACCCAAACGGCTGAAATTAATATTACTGACAATACCAAGTGTAGATAAGGTTGTAGAAAATTGAGAAACTCTTTGCAGAGAGAAGAGTAAATTGTTTATTATGCATAATGCTAAAAGTAGGCATAACCTTCAGTCTGGAAATTCTACTCCTATGCATATGA